CAAATACAGAGAAACTAACAAAAGAATCCCTCACTGATCTGCAAGGCATACATTCCAAGACTTCCAGTGGAGGCCTGAAACTGTGAATAGTAACAAACAGTATATACCACAATAAAGTTTAATTTATAAAGTAGGGACAGTACATAATTAACAATGATAAGTAATAATATAATAGGCCAATCATAATAGTATACTGGAATAAAAGCCCTATGGGTGTGGTCCCTTTTCCTCTCCTCTCCCACTTAAAATAGCTCATTGTACTGTAGCATAGGTAACTAAAGCCATGGAAAACAAAGCTGTGGATACCAGCAGACTATTGTACTGGAAAAGAAAAGAAGTAGGGCAGAAAGAGGAGCCTACTCACCACACTGAGCGAGCGTCCAGGCCTGAGGAACTGATGGTCCAGAAATTCACCCACTCCTGGAGCTCAGTTTTCTTTTATTCCTCCAGGTGTAGGTGCCTAGTACTTACTCACTCACACACCTGTTCTCTCTTTACCTAGCTCATGATTGGAGCCCAAGTTGAACTGGGCCCATCCCTTGGAGTTCTGGTTCCGCACACTTGGAACGGACGACTGGATAAGTTATTTAGAAGACACTGTCCAGGTGCTAGGAAGCTTAGGGAGAAGAGCCTGCTTCCACTAAGCTAATCACTCACAGCTGGATCATGAGTCACTTGGTCTTCAGTACACAACATAGCTTATTTATTTCATTTAATTTTTAAATTTTAATTTATCTTATACATTTAATCCCTATACATCACTTAGCTTGTAAATTAAATTTATCCAACATGAATACACTTCACACCGGTACAGTCGAGTATGCAAAACACGTTATCATCAACAGATACTATTTTGGCTCAGAATATTGCCTTATCTTTTATGTCTAGTGTTCAGATTCTCTCAGCCAACATTTTGATTTTTATCATTTACAAATTAACGGATATTTTAGAAATGTCCTTTCACCTTTAATGATAGCATTACAATCCTGAATTTTCAGTATGGTCTTCAGCCCAGCTATCCTCAAAAGTGAAAGAGCATGGAATGAGGTACTTGACTTGTTGGCATATAGACATTCTGTAGTTGTTGAATGAATGCAATAACCGGTCCAGATATCACATTTTATACACAAAACCCATACTCTCAAGTAGTTTGTTGGTTTTTCTCTGCTATTTTCCTTTTACCCCCCCTTAACATTCTATTTTTGTGTTAATATGCAACTATTTTTCTATTTCTCTGGATATAGTAATTAAATATGTTTAATATCTTCTATTGAATTACCTATTTCTCTGGTAATTTTGTTTTGTTTATCTTGGTTCTTTCATGTCACTGATATTATTTATGTATGTATCAGGCAATCTCTGGTTGTATTTTTATTTTATTTTTTAGATTTTTGCTATAAGGCACATGTGCTTGCTGGAGAGAGTGTGTGCTTGCCGGAGGAAGACAGACACCGGAGAGAAACAGAGAGAAGGAAAGTGAGAAATCGTTCCCAGGGGAAATGGCCACACTGCAATCCCTTCTCTTCCATCACCTCTCAGGATTTTGGGCACACATGCCCAGCATGTTTTTCCAAGCCACTGGGTCCAGGAATCCAACTATAGAGTCAGCTATGTGGAATCCAGTGCCTTAACCACCACACCATTTGCTGACCCCTATTTATTTTGTTAATTAAGCGCAGGATGGTTTTCTTTTAACTTTCTCTGACTGCAAAGTCTGCAGGGATCTTAGTGTTGGTCATCACTTTTGGATGAACAGACAAGCTGTTCAAATCCCCGGAACAGAGAGCGTTTTACTCTGAGGCGCCAACTCTCTGTTAGAAATCTTGGCTCTCGTTTTGCTTCTATTGCAATTTCTGTAGAGAAAATTCACTTGTTATTTTGCCAGAAGTTAAGCTATGTGTGTGTGTTTGCATGTGTTCTGGTAGGATAGCAGCGTGCATTGTGCAGAGTTGTTAGTTCTGTAGGCTCTCAATTATTCCTCCAACTTTCAGCTCTGCTTCCTACTCAAGCTCTCAGTGCGGAATTCTCACTTACCACTCATGCCTCCCTGGGATTTTGAAGAGTAGAGTTGCTCTTAGTTCTGCTGTAGTCCTCTTAGAGTACACTTCTGTAGTTTGTTTTAAATTTGTTCCTTATCCTAGATTTATTAAGAAGTGCTGTTAAATTTCTAAATGATTAGTTGTTTTGCTTAGCTGTTTATTGTTCATTTCTAGCTCTACTATGATTGGTACAGAGATTGTGATATTTATGAGTTTGGACTATGGCACTACAGATTTGGAATTTATCTGAAATACTTTGGACCCATATTTACAATTTTGGATTTGGGGATATTTATATATACTGTCTCTAATGAAATAATTTGGGGCTGAAGCCCAAGTCAAAACAAACTTTATGTTTCTAATATACTTACACACGTAGACTGAAAGTAATTTTAGAAGACATTTTTGTATGCAGCATGTTAACTGTGAACTGTCACGTGAGGGATTTTCTACATTTGAGGTCTCATCAATGATCAACATATTTCAGGTTTTGAAGCATTTTAGATTTTGAGTTTTCAGATGTTCAACTATATTCCGTTTTGAGGTTATGGTTTGGTTTTGGTTTTGGAACTGAGGACATGAGTGAAGTCCAGAACTTTCTGGTTGCTCATCACTGCATTCTTTTACTATGGTTGAAGAAAGCGCCTCCAAATAATTCCTAGGGCAGCAGAAATCTCTTATGGAAGCTAGTAGGAAAAACTCACTCCAGCTCATCCTCTGAGAATGAATGCAGTATCTCAGTGTGCTCAGTGAAGGACACTAGTGGGGTTCCTTAAGTGTGATTAAATCTCTGTTCACTGCTCAACCATCTCTCTACTCTTTAATCATCTGCCTATAGTATTGAAACATCTGTCATTCTAAATACAATTTGAGTAGGACACAGGAAAGGAGTTAATGTGGTGGATATTCTGATTTTGAGATTTCACTATCTACTGAAAACTTTTCTTTCTCTGTAGTTATTGGGGTGGACATGGTCCAACAATTCATAATTGCTTCCTTGCATACATACACATATTAATATGTATGCAAGGAAGGAATATATAGTATAATATATAATTATATATGCATATAAAATATATGCAAGGAAGGAATATATATTATGTAATAAATAAGACTATAGATGTATATATAATATATATGCAATATATATATATATATATTTATTTATTTATTTTTCATTTTGAACTGTCCCCTTGAATCATCTAGTGACCCTGAAGAATGTAAGTCACAATTAGTTTCAGTCTTGGTGAAGTTTCCAGATTTCTTAAGTCCCCAACACCCGTAAAACTTACACCTGGATGCGCACACTTGCACACACACACACAGACTCGGATACATGTGAAGGCATATACTTACATGTAACACTCACTACTCTGGATTTACTTTTTTTGAAGTGAGTGGGATACTGTGGATATGTGCACTTGTTTCTGTTTGTTCATATTTTAGTATGTCTGCTCAAGTGCTGTATGAATTAATTGGCTTTTTTTCTTAGTCTAATCCCATTTCATTTCACTACTACAAAAGCTAATCCAAGTTTTGTTCTACTGGTGGTACAGAGTCATTTATTCCCCTAGCTCAGCTCTGTTTTAGAATTCATCACATTTAAGAGAAGGAAATGTAAAAACATGTGGTCAATTAAGTATGTTAAAATCAGTAATTTATTGTCCTTGTTTCATTTTTTAAAATAAGGCATGGTGGTGCTTCCACTAGCATGTATATTCTGATTTAGTTCTTATAATCTTCATTATGTGTGACATTTGAAGTAATTTGCCTCATTGGACTAGGCAGTACCTGCAATTTCTTGTAAGCACTCTCATACAACAAAGTTGTACTAAGTAATCTGATCAAGAAAAAATAACAATAAATATAGCAGCTGACATTGAAGGACACATTTCTTGTGCACACTTAAAATTGCTCGCCTGTTGGATATCCATTTATTTAACATCCAATCATTGACACTTGTGCTCTCTCATTTGGCTCATAACAGAACTTTTTGGCAATGTACTGTAGATCCATTCAGAGCTCTTAGTTTCCTGGCTTTCCCTGAGCTGAGACTGGTACCCTCCATACTTTTTCTTCAAAATATTTTTACTGGAATCTGTTATTTTTACTACTTCCCCATGGCTATTCATTATACACAAAATTCTCTTCTACTCAGTCATGAAATTACATGAAAAGTCATTTAAACTTCAACTTAATCAAACCATTATTTGCTATTTCTAGAGATATGGATCCTGTTCCCTAACTTGTTGCTTAGAAAACATACATTAAGTAGAAAATGACTTCTAAAGTCTTGCATACTAGTGGAAAGTCCAAACTCAACATAAATAAGCTAACATTGAGGAAAAACAACCTTTAATATAACTACATTTTTCTCCTTTATATTTTTATAAAAGATAAGAAATGAATAGCCACCATCTGGCAGAATGAGCAGAACAACAGAAAATCTAGCCTGCCTTAAAGGAGGGACAGGACTTATCCCCTGTCTGAATAGAAGAGTTAGCCGAGAAACACCAGCTTCCTCCAGTTGTATCATGAATATCAGCCAAGTTTGCAAGGAGGTAGACAATGTCAATGTAATTTTGACCAGAAGCCAAAGAGATAAACCTGGGGCCAAATAAAGATTTTCTCACTACCCTAGAGATCCAGAGAAAGACCCAAGACAGTAACTTGCGCCAAAAGTTGGAAGTAGGAAAGACTAACTAGACTGACTACAACCTTCAAGGTTGAGAGGTCTGCAGACTAGAGAAATATAATGACAACTATACTGTGAAAATCAGTACTTTGAAAATTCCACTGCTGAGTATTTTGAAGAGAATTCACCAGCCATAAAACTACTTGTTGTAAAGAAAAGATTAAATAACAGTGATTTTATTAAATTTTATTTTACTGAGAAAATTGAAACAACTCGTTATGGGACTTCTGCTATCACAAGTACACATACAGCCACCATATCCCCTTGATTTTCAGTCAGAGACGAAGATAGTCCTCGGTGATTCAAGGCCAGTATCGTTATAAGTGCTCTGAGTCTCGTCTCCTTCAGCTTCTTCAGAGATCTTATTTCATCATCTACTCCTTTCTTACTAATCTTCAACCAGTCTCTTCTCAGTAACTGTTCTTTGAACACATAAGCATATGTAAGTAAACATATCCACAGTCTTTAAAATGGTCTTTAATTGTGTATTCTCCTTCTAGCTCATCTCTCTCTTTTTATGGCCAAGCTGCATTAAAGTTTTGTGTTTTGTTTTAATTTCCTTGAGATTTAATTTAATCCATTCTAAACTTATCCAATTTCAGTGTGGTCTAGCTGCTAAGACCATCAGAATATTGTCCTTTACCATTATTATTATTATTTTTTGCTATAGGGCACACTCACTGAAGACAGACAGACAGAGAGAGAGAAAGAGAGAGAGAGAGAGAGAGAGAGAGAGAGAGAAAGTGAGAAGTCATACCTCAAAGGGGAATAGCCATCCTGTAATCCCTTCTCTGTTATTCTCCTAACATGATTTTGGGGACATACATATGCTGATCTGGGACTCTGTGATTGACCATGTGGGAATCCAGCGCCTGAACCACCATGCCTCCTGCTGGCCCCTATTACTCTGTTAAGAGCCATTAAAGAGTTTTTTTTTTTTTTTTGTGATTAAATCTAATGAATATAGAAAACCCTAATTTTTGTTTAATCTATCAAGCATTTGACTTCCTTATCTCTATATGCATTAAAACAGGTCACCCTCTGGAGAGAACTTCACCAGGTACTTGGTCTTCTTCCAAGGGCTCTGTTTAGTTAGTTTGTACTCCTGGCCACAGAACAGTGATAAGGAAAGATGTCTGAGAGAGTGCAGGAGAAACAAGATTTTAGGGAAGTGTCTTTTGTTGGGATATTTCCTCCTTTTCATTCTGGGTTCAGACTGCAACCCTGATCTTATTTTATCCAAATAAGATAACCATTTTACTTTATTTCAACCTGGAAAGTAGTTTGAAAATTTCCAAAAAGAAACCACACACCAAACATGTGAAAGGCCCATGTATTAACCCTACAGAAGTGTGACCTCACAATTTTGGAGCAAATTTTCCAATATGCATTCAACAATAACATTAGCAATTTCTATTTGTTCTCCTAGCACTTAACATTGGATAGTTGTTTGTTAAAATAAGATTGGATATTTGATTATATCCAATCTTATATAAGATTGGATAAATATATTAGATAAATTCTTAATTGTTATTATTAAATCTTTAATTCTATGTAATGATAATAAAGAATTAAGAATTTACATTTAAAACTTAAAAGTAAGTTTTAAAGTTAGAAATTCAGATAATGCTGGGGAAATCAGACATATTTAATATTTATTGAGCAGTTTATGAAAAGATGAAAGACAATTTGAGGCTAGAGATTGAGAATCAATAGAAAGTGTCAACATTTTGAATTACAGGTTTTGAATGTTTTATTTTCCTATCTTAGAATTTTTTTAAAATCCAGAATATGCACGCTTTCAAAAGGATAGCTTTGAAAAGATATTTTAAATAGTATTTATCTTTATCTCTACTTCCCATTACTTTTCCTTCCTTTTGAATATATATAAACATCCACAAGCATGAAAATCTCTCTAAAATGGGCATGGATAATTATACTGGTTTCGCATATTTGATAGAAAAGACAGAGTAGGAGACTTCTCTCATATGAGATGCAAATCAGAAAATATATGTGATTTAATGGCAGATTAGCATCATTTATTTTTATATTTGTGGCATTTTGTTATTTTTAATAGAATTCCATTTGCCGGGATTTGGCTCTAAAATGTAAGTTATTTAACAGATATCATTAGGTTGCTAAGCATTAACACTTAATTATCATATTAATAAACAGTTATTACTCTCTTCTACACTGAGCCTTGCCTCTGCCACATTAGTATGCATGCACTGCTCTTAGGCAACTTAATTGTCCTTAAAGGAAATCATTACAATTTAAATGAAATTGGGAGCTACTGGTTAGGGAAGGCTGTAGGGCATGCACAATACATACTAAACAAGGAACTGTAATTTCCCCCAAATCACAATTTTTTTTTTCAGTAATTTCACATCACAGCACTATATCTATTTGGTTAAAGGGAAAACAGTTTATTTTTTGCCTTGCAATTTTACAAGGGCACCATTTAACCAAGGACATGCAAGACTCTAAAATGGTAGCAAAGGAACTTGAGTAAATCAAATAATTTCTCTGAGGCTGGTAAACTGTTGTCAGCATTTGCAACCCAGTCAATGAAGCAATAAAGTATAGCATGGTGGGCAGCCGTCAACCACCACAGCCTGCCTCTAGGATGGAGGACAGCAGGAGGCCAAAGACTTTATGGCGACAGCTGTTGCCTCTCCCCACATGTGATTTTGTTCACTCACCTCACAGTAACACACGTCACACGCAGTTGCAAAAAAGGGGAACAGGGTCATTCTCCTGTGTCCTGTTACCTCTTTGCCATAGTCAAGAGCTCATTTTTTTCCCCTCCCTCCTCTAATCATAAAATGACTTAGTTTAGTGATTTGAGTTAAATACTCTGCTGTTGAAATGCAAAGTGTTTAAATATCCCTGGACTCTTATTTTTGATAGATAATTAATCAATGTTTTACACAACCTTAAACAGCTCTTCATTTTTAGTGAGTGACTCATGATGAAAACAAGGATTTAATTCATGTGGGTATTTAGCATTTTCAGAAATAATTAGTTAGCAACTGAGAGTTAATCTTATTAGTGCCCAACTTTGTAGGGATATATGAGGACTGAAAGTAAGATGAATAAAAACCCTGCCTTTTCTGAAATCTATAAACAATAAAGTAGGATTTTAAAATATTGAAATGAAACCACAGGACTTCCAGATGTTAAAGAATTAGGAATTAGGAAGCTACTAAGCCCATTGTAAATGTTACTACTCATTATACAAGTTGAATATCTCCATTTCACATGGTACAAAACTGAGATCAGAAAGGCTCATTAACTTCCCTTAGGTCTCATCGTCATTAAATGACTACAATGTTTAGTTCTCAGGTCTGTCTTCCTCTGGTGCCCATATTCACTCTTGAATACTTCATTCACTACAAACCCAAAAGCACCTTTATTAATACCACAGAACACCTGTTACATCTAGGACTTTCTATTGATACAGGAAGAGAAAAACTGATTAATCATTGCAAAAGATTTTATAGAGACTTCTTCCCTCTGAATAGCATGAGTTACTATATTTCCTGTGATTACCCATTAGTAGGAATGATTTTTGAATAAAGTCTATATTGTGGCAGTTCTTTAGAATTTCATTAAAGTTTATTCTTTTGCTTCCATAAGTGAGAGAGAGAAAGAGAAAGAAAGAGACTGAGAGACAGCACTGCCTCTGGGTCATGGATGCCTAAGACATGGGTGTGCACATGTCTTCTCTACTTGGGAAAGTCTCTGGACATGAACCTGTATGTTTCTCACTTGGACCAACTTCACACAGTGTTGCTTTTTGCCACTGCACCATCATTTGACCCCCGGTCTTACTTCTTTTTTTTTAGCTTTTTTTTTTTTTTTTTGGAGAGGTTTTCGCTATAGGGCACATGCGCTCGCCAGACAGACAGAGAGAGACAGAGAGACAGAAAGCGAGAAATCACCCTCCAGGGGGGATGGTCATGCCGCAATCCCTTCTCCTCCATTCTCCTCTCGGGATCTTGGGCATGCATGTACACGCGCCCGGCGTAAGTTTGAAGCCACCGGGTCCGGGACACGAACCGCGGTCAACTACGTGGGAGTCCAGCGACATAGCCATTACACTAACTGCTGGTCCCCCCTCCCCCCGGTCTTACTTCTTAATAGAAAAAAAAATACCAAATTGATAGGAGGAAATAAAGAATGCACTTTGGTAAAATGTGGCATGATATGAAGTGGAGTCACATTTTTTTTGGCTTTTTTTTTAATTTAAATTTATTTATTTACATTCATTAACTATACATTCCTGGAGTTATTGTGGTGACTCACTGAATTTTCATATTGGTGATAGGAGTACAATGGGGCCCTCAAAAAGTTTATGGAAAATGTGTATTATGGAAAAGCTATGTATGTTTTTAGTTATTTACTTTTTCACTCATATTGAATTCTTACTTTAATTCTATTTATCACAATTTGTTTTTTTAAGTTTTGCTATAGGATGCATGTCTCACTGGAGAGAGACAGGGAAGGAGAGGGAAAGTGAGAAATCATGCCCAGGCAGGGGGGTGGCCATGCTGCAGTCCCTTTGGATTTTGGCATGCACTCACATCAGCCTGGTGTGATTTTCAAGTCTCCAAATCTGGGATTCAGACTGTGTAATCGACTATGTGGGATCTACCTGCCTTAACTTCCACACCACCTGCTGGCCCCATCACCAACTTCCCGAAGTCACTCATGTGTCTTTAATCCTTTTTCCAAACTCATGAACTTGAGTATGATGTTTAACCTCATAGAGCCTTTAGGTATCTTACTAGTTAAGTAGGAATAACAATTTATGCCATACTTATTTTATAAGTTTTAAAGGAAACAAGTCAGTATTTATACTATAAAGTAATGAGCAAACAATAATTTCTTTTTATTGACTTACCATGCTGTAGTAGAAAAAGAATGGGCTCTGGACTCAGATAGATCTAGGGTGGTACCACAAAGAATAATTGTCAAATAAATGGAATGCTTCAACTCCTTTAGTTTCAGTTACTGCATCTCTAAACTGGAGAAAATAATGTGTGTGTGTTAGAGTTGTGTTAAAAGATTCAATATAAACTATGTTATTTCATAGTACACAGAATATCTGAAGAAAATTATTCAAATGGCTATCATTAATCCAGGTATGACTAGAGCATTAGTGCATGGTTCAGAATTTATATTTATACTTTAAAATATATGAGATCCAATTTATGGACCCACTTGGATTCGCTTTTCCACTTGCCTTTGTTGGTGCCTAATGAATAGAGAGCCATGACCAAGCAAGTCCTTCTGTCGTATCACTAAATAGATACACACTACTGGCTCTTCTTTTTCTTCAGGCCTAAGGACTATGTAGTCTATATCATTTCCACAGCAGTGGGAGCTGTACTACCTCTAGAATCCAAGCCCAGATATTTATACTATGTGAGGCAAAGTCTAGTTTAGTACAAAACCTTGTATTAGTTTAATTTCCATTCTTCCTGCACATTATTTTCCTTTTCTTTTTTTAAAGTTTGTTTACATGGAGAAAGAGAGAGGAGGGGAAGAAGGAGAGAGAGAGAGAAATATTCTTGACAGTCTCTTGCCAGGCTGTATTCTTCCCTCCAGCCACCCAGGATTCTGGACACACTTGTGGGCACACCCAATGTGTTTCCAAGGCCATCCCATATGGCTCTAGTGTGGCACCCTAGCGTGTCAGCATATTTGTATTTTACCTTTTTTCTTTCCTCCTCTTTTTTTTTTTTAAATTTTCTCTAGAGCACATACCTTCACTGGAGAAAGATGAAGAGAGAAAGACAGAGAGAAAACGTGTGAAATCATACCCCCAGAGGCGATGGCCACACTGCAATCCTTTCTCTATTCTCTTGTGATTTGGGGCACACAGGTGCACTCACCATTTTGTACCTGGGATTTCATTCACTAACAAAGAATTAGCAAGCAAACTCTAGCTAAAGCCACATTTTCAAGTGAACTTGGGTGGAAATAGGACAGGCCTTGGAATGTCCATGTCCACTTGCACAAAAGGATTTTAAAGTAAGCTTCACAATGAATATAATAGGGCCATGTTTCTTATGCTAAGTGGGGTGTTAATAATACATTAAATTACATCAGCGTTAGTCATGGTTTCACCTGAGGAGCAAGTCGAAGGCAAGTGTAGTCGATCAGTATAAAATCAATAATAATGTAACACTTAATAAAGTGTTATAACTTTTTATGGCTTTGGAAGCATTATGCAGGTTAATTGCCAACTTAAGATATGTTGTTAAAGCCAAAGAGCCACTATGTTAGTTTTTAAAACTTTTACCTTCTGTTTAAAAGATCTATTATACTGAAAATTAGACCAAAGATCTGATTATAGGATTGAACTGCAAGACAGACTAAATGTACAGCCTCAATCATTGTCTTATATACTCATAAGGCTCATGACATGGAAAGTGTGCCAAGAGAAGGTAATAAATCTGGGGACATGTTAGATTAGTAAAGTTTTGAGGTGTTCCAAGATCTGGGGAATTCCAGGATAATTTACATTAAGTCAAAGACAAAGTTGTTGCTCATAGCACTATATACTGCTAAGAAGGAACCTTTGCACTTGCTAAGTCTTTTTGGACTATGTTTGACACATACACACCATTTAGGACTATAGCTATACTACATTGATCAGTAGATTCTGAATGTTATCAGTTTCAAGTGAGGTTTCAATATTCAGTCTTCAATGTAGACTCTTCTGTTGTAGCCATTTCATTCATAGACCTAATTACGCTACAGGAATTTGGTACAGAAAGATTTTGTGTTGCATCTCTGGATATGGAATAATCACATCGACTCCTAGAGCAGAGCAATGTTACCATGGCAGATAATTTCCCTCTATTTGAAAAAAGAGTTTTTATTTTATTTTTTCTTTATGAGAGAAAAGGAGAGGAAAAAAGGGAAACAGAGGAAGAGACAGGCATACTGGACAGCATCTCACTTTGTTATGACCCTCCTGAGCTAGGTTCCCAGCTAGCCAGGATTGCAGGTAACCATGCCCAGTGTTTTTAGTTTGGTCCACTATTTAAACCCAGGCAAGTTGTGGCTTCTATCCCTGCATGCTGTGGTGTTACCTCTGTGCCACCATGACTAGGCCATGTCAGGACCTACTTTTAGCTGAACAATTGACAGAAAACCACCAATACACTGTATAACTAGAACTTTCCACCATAAACTAAGTTATTTTGAGTTAAACTAGTCATAAGTTTAGGCAGGTGGTATAGTAATTGAATATTTGTTGGAAGTGACACATTTAAGAGTAGGCTGAAGCAGATCTAGAAAGCATAATGAACAGATGGCCCAGACTCCCTTGTCACTTACTTCTGTTTATTCATTGTTTATCCTTCAACTCACAACTATTTCCTCAGGGAGGGTAACTTATGACCAATCACTAGAGGAAGAAAAGACTTAGGTCTGGCTCACAGATTAAACACCATGATGTGCTAGCATCATTAGTAAATGGGCTACTGCACACTATATAGCCCCATTTCAGTGACCCCAAGAGGCATTAATAAACTCAATTATTGGTAGGGGGTGAATCTGTAAGCAAAATACTCAGCCACTCCACTGCATGTGGAAGGAGAAACACAATTCTGTAGAGCGGATATGGGCTGGGAAGAAAAAGAGTGGAAGACTGGGATAAAGTGATCTAAAGATGAGGTATGTGGATAAATCTATGAGCAAGGGCACAAACTATGAAGATCTTCGTTTCTCCTATTAATGGTCACCAATGACCTTCCACCACAAAACAGGCTGCCATGAACCAAGTGGACAGGTGGATCTATGCCAAACATGTCAGTAAGCCTTTTCCCATAGTCATCCAAAACCTGTGAAATGAGCCAATAAACAGAGTGCACTAGTGGTATGACTGGAAGCTGTGTATTTGGTAAAAGTCATGGATTACGTATTGCAAAGTCTAAGTTAACTACTACAGAATGTCAAACTACTGTAGTAAAAATCAGTCCTGGCTCTTAAATATGGTTCTAGTACTCATGGAAAATGTCTACAGGCAGGTAGTTTACATTAGGCATCTTCCACTTCAGAGGACAGAGAGATTCCTTTCACTGAAATTGCTAAACACTCTGGATATGTTTTTGCCTTCCCTATTCCTACTAGTGCTACCATTTGATGTCCTTTAGAATGACTGATTGCATAATACTTCTTAAAGCATAGCCTTCAATTAAAGTTGCCTTATGATGGTGATTATAATATAATGGGTATAACATGGGATTTTCTGTTTTTTTCTTTTCCTTTTTTTTTTTTTAAGAGGGATTTTTGTTTGCTATAGGGTGCATGCACTCGCTGGAGTGACAGAGAGAGACAGAGATTCAGAAAGCAATAAATGACTCCCTGGGGTCATGGCCATGCCACAGTTCCTTCTCCTTCATTCTTCTCTTGGGATCTTTGGCATGCATGCACATGCACCCAGTGTGAGGTTTAAGTCATCAGGTCTGAGACTCAAACTGCGGTTGACTACACAGCATTACAGCGATGTAACCATTATGCCATCTGATGGTCCAAGATTTTCTGATCTGATCATGCTTTCCATTTATCCAAAATAAACTGTTCCCAAAGAATAATGGAACGACCCATTGACATGTATGCTTGGAGTCAATACTTTGAGGTGTTCAGAATACTTTTGTGTTTACATATTATTTCCCAACAAATCACCCTTAAACTAAGAGGCTAAATAAATTATTTTTATTTCTCACTTTTCTTGGTTGACTAGGTTCAGCTGGGATATCTTCAGGGGGTGGTTTTGTTGACCCGAGTCAGATTATTGGAGTTACTCTGAGCTATAGCTATGGCTACAGACAGCTAGCAGGGGCTGATACCCTCTTCATACAACAGACAGTCCATGTCAAGAGCTCAGTCCGGACCCAGAACTTGAGTATATATGGCCTCTCCCTATGGCTTAGCCTTAATAGGTAGCTTCTGAAAGGAAGCATTTCGATAGCAAGTATTGTCAGAGATACACTTAGGAGATAAGACTTCTTGTGACCTGGCTCATAAGGCCATTATTTAAATATTTTTTAGTCAAAATATTCACTACGATCAGTTCAGATTAAGGAAGTGGGAGCATTACACTCCACTTTCTGATGTATGACTGACAAAGATACATTGCAGAAAAGCTGGTGAAATAGATGATATCAGTGTGATTATTCTGGAAAATGCTGTGAGTTCAAATGTGTTGTGCCCCTGAAGGTGATGTGTGAACCAATCCTATAGCCAGTTTTGAGGAAGGGTGATAAACCCTCTGCACCTAGCTCCAAGTGACCAACTTGTGGAATTTGTGCACCCTTTTCCTCAATCAGTAACTCTGCTGAAGCAGAGATCCTATTTAATGGAAGTAATTTCCACCAGAGGAAATTTTAAGAGTTTCACTGAAGTAGAAATTTCAAATACATCTAGCCATATTTGGCTCTTTACTCCAAGGGCTTAGCAGGCAAGAAATTACTGGACTGTCTGGTAGAGTTAACCTTGATGACCAAGACAAGCAGGAGGTGGTTCTGAACAATGGGTGCAGGAAGGAATATGTATGAAATGGATGAATTTTTATGTGACATTTCTTGGTACTGTTATGCAGCAAATTCATCCTAACATGAACAAAACAACTATACTCACAACCTCTGTATATGAAGATCCTGGCCACTTCACTACTCCACTAACTAAGGTGAAATATTAATCAAATCAAGAGCGGGTGGTGAATCAAGATTTGTTTGAAAGAGGAATATCAATTATGACATAGAAGCACTTACCATAGCATGACTTGCTGACTCTCGGAACTAGATTTTAGAATTCTGCAACTGGATACCACCTTAAATGATCGGATCTGTATCTTTTCTTGACAAAGAAGTGGTAAAATCTTGTTTTCTTAATATAATGATAATTAGATAAGATTGGACAATAGATGCAGATCTGAGTGGCAACAAGGGCTGGATTACAGTAAATCTAATGTATGTGCTCCCTTAACATATTTTCCCCATGCCACTTGTCTTCCGCGTTGGGATGCTTGCTAACTAAAGATCCTTGACTGCCATGATTGTCCCTTCATCTTCTAACACCACTAGCTGTACTGACTTCCTTGAAATTATAACCTGGCCTCCATTATGCCTACCCTAAAGAGAGCATAGAGACTACACCAGTCAAGTTTCATGTTAGTAAACCCATAGACATCTCAGTTCTTATTACATCAGACTCACATAAATATCTCTCTACCAGGTAGTGGTAGTGATAGATCTGAATTTCTCAGTAACTATTCAGAGGGATCAATACAATTTAGCACTAAAAAAAAGTTATTACTTCACAAGGTGAACTTTCAGCATTAAAAGACAAAAGAGAGGGGAAAGTTAGCAGATAAATACTTGCCCTTCATTCTCCCAGTATTCCATACTGAAGTACAATAGTTTCAGATGATTCTTCAAAATGTCTTGCATAAGCAAGAAACTGAATATTGTGTGTTGAAATATAAATACTGGCCACTTTGGAAGTGGACCTTTCTCCCCCACCTTTCTATTCTTGATCTTACTGCTCCTAAATTCTTTTTTGATCAAAGAAGATCCCAGAGCCAGACCAGATTCAAAATGAGTGGAAACAGACTCGGTCATGTGATACAAGAAGTTGCATGAATATACAGCAATTCAAAGATAGGAGGAATTCTGAGAACCAGCAGTTAGCGTAATGGCTATGTCGCTGGACTCCCACGTAGTCGACCGCGGTTCGTGTCCCGGACCCGGTGGCTTAAAACTCACGCCAGGCGTGTGTGCGTGCGTGCCCAAGATCCCGAGGGGAGAATGGAGGAGAGGGGATTGCGGCGTGACCATCCCCCCTGGGGGGTGATTTCTCGCTTTCTGTCTCTATGTCTCTCTCTGTCTGTCTGGCGAGCGCACGCGCCCTACAGTGAAAATCTCTCCAAAAAAAAAAAAAAAGAAAAAAAGATAGGAGGAATTCTTAGCATTCAGGTTTCTGGATATTTGGTCAAAGTAATAATTTCTTTTAAATTTTCCAGTTTTTTGTGTATGTGTCTTTTGTTCTAGTGTTTGGACATTCTGAACATTTCATGAATTTATTTTAAAAGTTCTGACTTTTTTTTCCTTTTATGAGTGAGATGGGGGAGAAAAGGAGGTAAAGGGAGAGATACATAGATAGGTATTTGTCAAAGGCTCACCAGTTTTGTAATCCTGCTGCCCCAGTCTCTCAATCAGTAGGGTTATTGGCACTGTGACCATTCCTGGTGTTCAGGTAGTTCTGGGAATTAAACCCAGGCTGCCCACATAGCTAAGAGCTTCCCAATCAGTAGCACTACCTATGCACCACCTTAGGTGGACTTCTGCTGTTTTTTAATTGTTTAAATTTTTTTGATGCCAGATTGTGTGTGTGTGAGAGAGAGAGTGTGTGTTTATGTAAAAGAGACAGAGAAAGAGAGAGAGAGAGAGAGAGAGAGAGCACCCCAGTGTCACTGGGTCAAACTGCAATACTATTTCTTCTATTTCTCCTTTCCCTGATAATTCTGGCGTGGGTTCAGTTGTGACCAATGTGTTGCTACCAAGATTTGAACTGTGACCAGTCATGTGGGATCTGGCTGTCTCTGCACAGCATTTAACTGCTGCACCATGGAATTATTAATAATTAATATCAAAATTTTAAATATTAAGAACTTAGTTTTAGCAAGTTCTTTTCTTGGAACATAGTATCCTTTTTTCTTTAACTTGATATTTATTCTTTTCTCTTTCAGACAAGGTAATAGACATTCTTCAAAATGAAGCCCAGTTATCTGCATCTCCTAGTATTCACATCCTTTGATGGCTACAACAAATAACATTTGACAATGAGATGAAAACAATATTGGGATCAGCAAGTAGCTTAGTGGTTAAGGTACTGGACTCCCATGTGGCTAAGCACGGTTCAAGTCCTGGACCCGGCAGCTTGAAACTCAAGCCTCGTGTGTGCGTGTGTGTGTGTGTGTGTGTGTGTGTGTGTGTTCACCCAAAATTGCAAGAGAAAAATGGAGGAAAAGGGACTGTCGAATAGCCATCCCCATCTCCCCCAAGGAGTGATTTTTCACTTTCTGTCTCTAGGAAGCATGCAAGACCTATAGCAAAAATTTTTCTCCCTCTCTCTCAAAAAAAAAAAAAAAAAAAAAAAGAGAAAACAATATGAAGACCATAAAAGATACTATAGCTTTTGTTTTAGATTCTCTTGGATCACGAGCTCTGGGGACACTAAACACCAGACACGGGTGTCATGAAGAGATTCAAGTAGTCCTGGAAAAAGGCCCCACAGGGACTGACTCCGGTCTCTTGTCAAAAATTTGCACTAACCTGTCAATCATGTGAAGGAGCTGGCATGAAAACTGGTCCTACTGCTTAACCAAGGTTTCAGGTGACTGTGTTTCCAGAAAACATCTTGACTGCTGTACTATGAGAAATCCTGAGCCAGAATCACATTGCTTACCTGGTCCCCAATTTCTGACCCATAAACACTGTGGGAGATCATTTTCCTTGTTATTTGAAATGATTAACTTTTGGAATAATCTAATAACTAGCACTAGACAATTGATAGAGATACTATTAATTTCAGGTTAATATTGGTTATCTTTTTGCATATTTTTCTATTAATTTATGAATTCCTTTATCAGTTTTGTGTGTTGTGTTATTATTTGCTTATGATATTAGTTTCCTTGATGACCAGTTTATGTTTAGGAATAAGATGTTCCCACAATTCTTGTAAAATTGTCCTTACATCTCTCCATTTTTGGAGGGGATAGAGGGAGAGACATCTACTAACCAATATCTGTAGATTTATTCTTTGATGTGTCAGTTTCTTCAGAGAGGAGAGTCTACATTTTCTATATGAGAAGACTGCTATAGAACTAGGGAAAGGGGCTGAGGTTATACAGTTTTAAATTTGAAAATTTAGTTAAGGAATCAAGGGGAAAAATGAACAAAAGTAAATCATTTATAGACACAAAAATAAAAATTATGTATTAATGAAGATGTGTATGGTAATATCTCAGACTGAACTAATACATGGTGTATTCATGCTGGGAAGATGCATTTTGTATGCTGCAAAGATGTACAGTGATTCAATGTAAATAAAACAAAAAAGAAAAGAAATTTTAGTTAATATTTGCTATTTTGGTGTAGTGCTTCACAACTCTGCCTTTGCAAAACTCTGGTTACCCTTATTCAGAATATCTCTCGTCAATTCTTTTAAGAGAGTAAACCTCCTGTCTTCTGCTTGCATGCAGAAGGGGAGCTGGAGAGCTATTAGTTTTGGTCTTATCTCCAACCTGTCCTTCATAGATGACTAGGAAACAGGAAAAATCATAAAAGGAGTAGCAACTGTACTCCCAGAGTTTGTCCATAGACCTAGGTTCCTCTTCTCTTATAGCTCTGTCCTCATCTATGGTATTGCATTCATCTACAAATGAAGGCAGGACAATTAACACTACCTCCAAGTGTAGTGAGAAGTACAGGGAAAGATATGAATGGAGTCCAACAGCTTTCTTCTCACAGAATGTGATCTGGGAGTTACCCAAATTTCTTTAACTTGCAACATATCCACCATATCCTAATGAACATATATAGCTACAAGAGATGCTTCAAAATGTAGTCAAGTCTGCGCTGTCATACATGCCAGAAGAGAGTTGGGGTCTATTGCTAAAAGAAAGAGGGAAGACAATGTGCTTTCACTGTTTCCAATAATTTCAGCCATCTCTTCTCTAAATCTTTACCAACAACCATCAGTTCTCTTTTCTCATTTGTTTCTCTTTTTGTGTATACACACATTTGCTGGACTCTGAGACATATATTTGCTGGACTCTGAGACTAAAAAATGAGGCAGATAATTCTATGGAGGATTTGATAGCTTTTTAATATCAGAGGGTGACTTACAAATGAGCAAGGATTGGCAGAGACTGATTCTCACACACACATAGCTGCAGACTTCACTATCGGCTCTGCTCCACTGCTCCCATCCACAGTCAGTAGGAACTGTTAAAGGAGCTGAACAAGAGGCATAAACCTGAGAAACGAGTCATTTTGGGGTGGCCATATTGCCCTGTGCAGACCGAACCAAGTTCACTTGGAAGAGGACATGGCTTTTTCAACATCCAAGATTGTTAGTTTTCCTATGTTAAAGACCAGTGGTTCAGGCTGTTAGCTCTGTTAGAGTCTGGATAGCATTGCTCTAGGAAAAAATTTAACTCAATCAAAAAACTCCTGCTCAAGGCTAGTATTCAAGGGTGCAGTGAAAGAATAGAGGGACACAGGGGGTATTGATTTAGGTCACTCGCACACTCACACGAAACTTCTTATTGCCAAACTATTAATTTAATAGACTTAAGGAACAAGTAAAAACTCATGTACATAAACTTCCATACTGAATTGAAGCCTTCCATATTTTCTCAAGATAACACAACTTTTCAGTATATACACTTGATAACAGGAGTTTAGATGTTAAAAATATGTCTCCTACATTTAATATAGCTTTGTAATAAGAGAAAATGTGCACTCAATAGTTGCTATGCATGAGAGTTAAATGTTATATGAAGTTAGAAAACACTGAATTAACAAAATTGAGCCATTATCCTAGAAAGATGTAGAAATATATTCCTACATCATCTAGATTAAAATCATAAATAAAAAAAACTCAATTTATTCTAATAGGTTCTTTTAAAAATAATTATTTAATTTAAATTTAATTTATTATTATTATTATTTACTTAGAGCAGAGAGACAGAGAGAGAGAGAGAGAGAGAGAGTAAGTGAGAAAACAAGTTGTCAAGTCTAGGACTCGAACTGTGGTTGCCTGTGTGGGAGTCCAGTGCCTTAACCACCATGACACCTGATTGCCCCCTAATAGGTCCTATTTTCTTTATTTAATAAAAGAAAAAAAAAAGTGAGGGAGCACCAGATAGTGTAATGGTTATGTTGTTGGACTCCCATGTAGTCAAATGCATTTCAAGTCCTGAACCCAATGGCTTAAAACTCCCACTGGGTGCATGTGGAGTGTGTGTGTGTGCCCAAAATCCCAAGAAAAGAATGAAAGAGAGGGGATTTGGTGTGGCCATCCCCCCCAGGCAGGTAATTTCTCACTTTCTGTTTCTCTGATGAGTGCATGTTTCCTATAGCAAAGATTCTCTCTCAGAAAAGTACATAAAAATAAATAAGGAAAAAAAGAAAGAAAAGAAAAAATGAAGTTCATAAGTGTTAAGTAACTTGCCTGAAGCCATCCCATAGCAGATGCCAAAGTAGGGGTTCAAACCTCACTTGACTCATCCCAGAGCCAGATCTTGCACTCTACTCTCCTGTTTCCTAGTACCTTTAATTCTTTGGTCACTTTGAATGAGAGTTGACTCAACATGGCAGACCTTTAGTCAGCTCAGTGGCACAGTAGTATTCAGGTATGCTGGATCCATACAGAAGATCAGAGTTCAGTTCCCCAGTTGATGTAAACACTCCAGGCATACTTGTCTGTGATCCTGGCTGGCAGAGAAGGCATGAGGGATCCTTGCATGAGATCCTGTTGAAGATACTTATCTTTCTTTCTGTGTCTCTTTCTCTTTCTGGCTCTCACTCTCATAAAAGAAAAAAAATAAAGTTAAAAAACATTGTTACTTATATCATTGTGGCTGGAGGTAGAATGAAAATGGAATGACTCAAACTTTTTACTGCCCTAAGCATGTTGGTAAATGATCAAGAAAGTTTAAGTATTTACTTTTGTGGCTACAAATACATTTTGACAGGTAGGACAATTTACAAATGCAGAATTTGTGAATAGTAAGAATTGTTTGTGAAATGTTGAACACTTCTATTTCATGTATATTGTATATATGCCAAGAACTGATTTATATTCTATATGTAGGTAGACTAATTAAAGTGTAAAGTGACATATTTTATAGCTTATTTAGTTCAATTGATACATAAATTTTTCTAAGTCCCTAGTCTGTGCTCTTTTCATATATATTTATTATTAATTTTTGGAAATAGTATGTCTTAAATATGATTGCTCATGATTTCCTAGAGGAATAAAACTTTGATATGTTCATAACTTTGGTGCTTCATTTAGTGACAAAATTGTCAAATTGATATTGAAATTAAGATTGAGGACTTGTTCTAGAAAAATTTGTGGTTTTCCAGACAACTTGCTTTGAAAACTGCAAATTTTTATAAATTATAATATAAGGAATACTTGAGGTAATGGATATATATTTTAATATCATTCACTTTCCAACTCTGATTCTTAAGTCATTTTTATAAAATCTTTGTATTTGCAGTTTCATTCACTCTTACTCATACAAATTTATAATCTGCACTACTACTGGTATATATTTATATTAAATTTATGACTACTTATTTATGACAAGCATATATTGTAATATTTATAAGACTTTTTATAAGTAACTTTTATCCTTTCAGCGATGGCTTTGGAGCTCATCACTCACAAACACACACACACACTGACATACTTTTTAACAATGCAATACAAATGTATATTTTAAAATGTATTTAGTAGCATGCACATTGATCTGACACTCCTTTTCAACTCTGATGAAATTCTTTATTAATAAATGTTCAATAAGAGCCAGGAAAAAGAAAATCTTGAAAGTATATTAAAAACCTTTAAGGTAGACCAATATGTGGTGAGGTGATTAAGGTGCTAGTCTTCCACATGGTCAATCATGGTTTGAGCCCTGGACCTTAGATTGAAAGTCACACAGGACATGTTTGCATGCTTGTTGAAAGTCCCAAGAGGAGATTTAAGGAAAAGGGATTGCAGTGTGTACAATGTGGCCATCTACCTTGGGTGGTATTTTTCCACTTTCTCTCACTCTGTTTCTCTTTGAGTGCACATGTTTATGGCAAAACAAA